ATACATTTCACTGACTGCTAAGGGCTGGCAGGCCTAACCTTCCTGTGGGCACTGCCTAGGGCAAAGTGCTGGTATGCTGAAAACCACCTCTCATCCCGCTCCTCATGTGTGTTCCAGAGGGACACTTTGTCAGGCGGGGTAAAGTCAACAGTGACTTATTGTGCAAACCACAGCCCATGGTGCCCTCTTGGGCCCCTGGCTTGCTTTCTCCATGGCTGCTCCGAAATCTTTGAGCCTCAACTAAGAACCATAGCAGCGGGCTGGTGGCTGAAGAGAAACAGCACCCATGAGTCCCGTGACTGTGACTAACAGCAGGCCATACAGGCAGCCTCTCCATCTTGTCACTGTGGATGTTCTGCACTGTGAATAGAATGAAACCCGAACCACTGCTGCAAAGTGAAATCCTGAAAGAGTAAGTGTGTGGAAGAACAGTAGCCAACTAAGATGGCCAGCCCTGTTAGGCCTGTTTGGGTTCTAATAAATCCCTGGGGGAAAAGACAGCGTGCTTCAGCCTTCTCTGTGTAGTTCCACATTCCAGGACCCAGTCCTATGATCTGACTTTTCAACCAGTCCCAAGTGAGGAAAGGTTGGGGGCCCAAGAGCCCGGGAGTAGAATATTTTCCATGGGATCAAAGGGCTGTTACATGCTCATCATCTCTAGGGACAATGCCATTGGCTTGGACTTACACTCTGAAGGCGATAAAGAGCTGTGGTAAAGTCCCCACATGCCCCTCCAGGAGCAAGGCAGGGCTCCCACCTGCTAGCCAGTGTGAGTTCTTCCTGCTGAAGGACTAACAGATCTCTAAAAAGACACAATGAGGGTGGATTTTGGCTTATTTTTTCTCATAGAAGAAAGTCTATAGTTGACTATTTTCTTTTCCTCTGATTCTCTTTAAAAAAGCAGTTTGAGTTGCAAAAGCCCTGCTGAAATTTCATATGGCCTTTCACTTCAAGGACTTTGAAACAAACATTGTTGATTTTTCCTTTTTCCTGCCACCCCTCTGTCCTATCTTCCTGGTGTTTTATATTTGCTGTCTAGATAATTTTAAATACAGTAGCTTTTGGTATAGAGGCCCTTTTGACTTTCCCTGCAGACTGAACTGTAGGTATATTTTCTTTCTGAAAATAAATAAACACAATTTGGAGCAGAAGCAGAATGGCTTTGTTGTCAGCAGAGGGAGAAACTCTGTGAGCCCCAAAACTGCCACAACCTCTGAGATGTTGAAATACCCATGTTTGCAACAGACAGACCTCTGTGTTAGGGAGGTGTCATCCAGGATCTATGTGTCTGTTTGTTATCCAAAGGGCATAAAAGGGAAATCAAACAATCTTTCATATCATTATAAGGCTTATGCAAACACAGCCCCATGGACAAAGACCTTCTCCAGGCTATAACAAGGAGCTGTTTGTCCTGACTGCCTGTCTTTAGCAGTCAGAGCAGGGCTGAGCTGAGAGGTATAGTATGCTCTGCTGTGATTTTGCTTTCTTGGGCCCAATTTTGCAGGTGTCATGGGATAGAGTCACCATGTGGAAGCTGAATCAGAGCAACCACTGGGAGCCTTCTGCAAAGGCCACATCAAACAAAATCAGAGCTAGGAAGTAACCTGACAGAGAAATTGCACCCGACCACAGAAAGTCAAATGGTCATGTAGTGTGTTTGTCTTTGTGCACGGGGATTAATGAGACGCAGCCAGGATCCAGGATCAGGATTCACATCTGCCTGCATCCAGTGCAACCACAGAAAAGCCTGAGCTTAGGATAGAAGAGCCTCATCCTCAGTCCATTAAAGAACACAGACTTGAACACTAACAAGAGGTTGGTTTCTTCACCAAAAAATATTTTGATCAGTTAAACCCAGCCCCGTGTGTACCCCAATTGGATAGGCAGAACTGTCTGTCAAACACAGTGACTACACCTTGCACGTGGGTACTGAGTCCCTGAAACGTGGTTAGTCTGAGTTGTGCTGTGCTGGAACAATAAAATATGCTTTGGGTTTAGAAAATTCAGCACAAAAAAAAAGTTAACTATTTAATAATTCATGAAATATTTTAAACCTATTGGATTAAAATACACATGTTGCTAAAATTAAATCCACGTGTTTACTTGTGCTTCTTTTAATGTGGCTACTGGAAAATTTTAAATCACACATGTGGCTGGTGTTCCTATTAGTGCTGGGCTAGCATGTGAATGAAGTTTAGGTTGTAGCGCCACCTGCTGGCCAATCCAAAGCACACGCCGATGTGAGCAAGAATTAAAACACTCTTCTGGACGACCTTTCTTTCCCAGAGCTACTGGAGCTTTTGCATACATCATTTGGATTACTTGCTACTCTTAAGAAATATTTCAAACCAGGCACGGTGGCTCACACTTGAAATCCTAGATACTCAGGAGGTAGAGATCAGGTGAATCCCGGTTCAAGACCAGCCCAGCAAAATGTTCATGAGACCCCATCTTAATAGGCCTGGTTGTGCGCATTGTCACCTCAACTATGCAGGAAGCATAAATAGGATAGTGGTTCAGGCCAACCTGAGTATAAGCGTGAAGCCCTATCTCAAAATAACTAAAGCAAAAAGTTCTGGGGTATAGTTCAAGTTGTAAAGTACCTGAGTTCAAACCCCAGTACTGCCAAAAAAGAAATATTTCTAACCACTAGGTTTGTAACCAAGCATTTAACAATGTAGAGAGACACAGATCTACTCCTCAGAGACTGGCACACTTTCCTTGATAATGCTTATTTGCTTTAATTTGTCAAGTATTTGAAAGTAGGGATCTTGCTGATAAGAAACATCAATTATCTATTTCAGCATAACAACTCACCCCAAAAGTTAATGGCTTTACAACAGAAGTAATCATTTAACATCTCTCCTGGTTTCTGGGAGTTGGGAATTCAGGAGTGGTCCATCTGAGCAGTGCTGGCTCGGGATCCCTCATGAGCTTGAAGTAAGGTGTTGGCTGGAGCTGCAGTCTCCTGAAGGCTTGACTGAGGTAAAGAATCCATTTCCAAGGAGGCCCATTCACGTGACTGGCCCAGAGGTAGTACTGGCTGTTAGTTGAGGTATCACCTCCCCTCTGGGCTTCTCCAGGCTGCTTGAGTGTGCTCAAGGCATGGCAGCTGGTTTCCTCCAGAGCCAGCAATCCAGGAGGCCTACGGAAAAGTCTTAGTGGCTCTTCTGATTTCTCAGAAATGACACACTATGACATCAGAATACATCATGCCTCTCTCTTTCTCTCTCTCTCTCTCTCTCTCTCTTTCTCTCTGGCCTTACTGGGGTTTGAACTCTGGGTCTCATGCTTGCTGGGCAGGCGCTCTACCACTTGAGCCACCCCACCAGCAGCATTGTGTTGGAGATGGCCATTTTTGGAAAATGGCCTGCCATAGTCCATAACATCTACATAGCCCTGCCCAGCTCAAATGCCTGTCCCATGTCACAGATAAGGAGATTGAGGCTCAGAGAGATGACAATACCGGGCTGAGGCCTCATGGTGCATAAGAAGGAGGAAAGCCCAGTTCTCACGCCTACTCTATGCCTTTCCAAGTTGGAGCTATCCAGGCTTCCTCCTCAAATCTCCTTTCTGCTGTTGTAACTAGGAACCCTGCTGATTGTTGCTTTTTTTTTTTTATAGCATTTAAAGGTGTGCAGAGTTGGCTTTGCTCAAGTGCTTAACATTACTCCATAAATGATATCTCTCTATAACTTGTCATTTTATTGAGTTAGGCTATATGTCATGTGGCAAAAACCTTCAGCTAACCACAGAGTACTGACAAAAGTGCTACAGCAGTGAAGAAATGGCACGTTTTCCATGTTGTTTGCTTCAGAAACCTAAGGAAAGATAACCACATTATAACCTGTATGTTCTTACTCTATTTGATTAGCCAAATATTTGAAGCAGGAAAGAATTAATCACTGCCTGCTTTCAGCAGTTTCCATATTACTCGGTCACCTCAAAAGGAAGTTTTACCTAAATAACAACAAATGTAGGCAAAGATGCAGAGGAAAAGAACCTTTATACACTGCTGGTGGGAATGTAAATTGGTCCAGCCACTATGGAAATCAGTATGAATAACTAAAAATAAAACTACCCTGTGATCCTGCTATACTGTTCCTGAGCATATATCTGAAGGAATGTAAGTCTGCATACAATAGAGATGGCTGTACACATGTTTATCACAGCACTACTCACAATAACCAAGCTATGGAATCCCCCTAAGTGTCCATCAGCTAATGAATGAATAAAGAAAATATGGTGTGTGTGTATATATATATAGATATAGATATAGATATAGATATCCATGATGGAGTATTATTCAGCCATGAAGAAGAATGAAATTATGTCATTTGCAGGAAAATGAATGGAACTGGAAATCATGTTAAATGAAATAACCAGACTCTGAGAAAGACAAATATCACATGTTGTCTCTCATATGCAGAATCTAGACTTAAAAAAAGAAGAAGAAGAATGGCAGGAATGTAAAATGGAGGGAGGGAGGAACAACTATTTGGAGGTAGGAGCCAGCCAGAGGGAGGAAGGTGAAAGGAGAGAATAGGGATGCATGTATGTAAACAGAATAGTGAGACCCATTAAAAATTGTTTAAGCCGGGTGCCAGTGGCTCATGCCTATAATCCTAGCTACTCAGGAGGTAGAGATCAGGAGGATCACATTTCAAAACCAGGCCCGGCAAATAAGTTCACAAGACCCTATCTTGAAAATACCCATCACAAAAAAAAAAAAAAAGGCTGGTGGAGTGGCTGAAGGTGATGGCCCTGAGTTTAGCCCCAGTACTGAAAAAAAAAAAAAAAAGTTTACAAGATGAATTTAATCAAAATACGTTGTATGTATATATGGGAGTATCACAACAAAACCCCTTTGTATAACATGCGCTAATGAAAAAAGGAAAAAAAAACTAAAAAAAGTTTTCACCATTTTGTGATGTTCTACCTGCCAGAATTAAAATAAAAATCCAGCTATCATAATCCCATTCTGTCTTTCTTGGTTTCAGGTCAAGCTTCCTTTTCCTGTAGATCAAATCACAGATCTTCCCAGGAACGACTTTCAGATGATGATTAAGATGCACAAGCTAACCTCAGAGCAGTTAGAGTTCATCCACGACGTCCGGCGGCGCAGCAAGAACCGCATCGCCGCCCAGCGCTGCCGCAAGAGGAAACTGGACTGCATTCAGAATTTAGAATGTGAAATCCGAAAGCTGGTGAGTTGACCATCAGTTGTACCTAGCAAGTGGAAGTGACCAGAACCGATGTGAAGTCACAGCAGTGAGAGATGGAGAAGTAGAAAGAGGGCCCATTTTCCTTTGGGGAAAATGGGGTTTATTTTGAAACAAGTTTCTCAGTAGAAATAATAGATTTATTTACATATGCAACGTGTATAGATGTGCAGGTGTATAATAGCATGTCATATTCGTCAGCCATCCATATGAGTTTTTTTTTTTTGTTTTCCATTTGGCATGTAATGATAGCTGGTGTTTGTTGTTGCGTCTATAAACCTAGTATCTTTCTAAACTTTTTCTGGGATGATCCTGTCTGATCCACACATGAAGTGTATGGTAGGGACTATTTTATCCTATTTCCAGAGGAAATCATGGTGCAGAAAGATTGGATAACTACCTAGGATGTGATAGTGCTTAAATACAAACCCAGGTGTCTGATTCCCAAGGGAGTGCCTTTGCCACTGCTTTATCTGCCTCCCAGCAGAAAAGGATAGGTTGGAGACAGACATCTGCCTTCAGGGGTACAGTCCCCCCAGGAAGATGATCTCCTGGCACCCTTTGCATCCCAGGGTCCTTGATTTTGCAATTCTGCCTTAAAGTGGCTGCCACTTCTTCCCTGTGCCTCAGACTGTTGGTCTCAGGAAACAAACTCCCATCTATCTTCCAAGCTCCCCAAGTCAGACCTTGCCCCTAGCTTTCTCCTTGGCAAACAACCTTGAGTTGCAGGGAGTGAATACAGGCAGCCTCTGGGCTCTTGACTTAGCTTGGAAGGCAACAATTCACCCTCATTCAGCGGCCCTTCTGCTGGCAGATTCTGGGAACTCATCTCAGGTAAGAAGAGGGAGGTCATATATAATGTGGTCATGATCTAAATTTAGCTCCTCAGATAGTGACAGCAAA